GATGAAAATAAATAAAAACAAAATTCAAAACATGGGATAGGATATTCATAAAAAAAACAGATTGGTCTGAAAGCCATCAATTAATTAACTGTCAGTACTACTACAGTATTGGTTTTTGATGTCGTGTCACACTCGGGTTGTTATACTTCGTTAAACACAAGATGAAGTCACATGATTCGCGGAGCCGACTTCGTATAGCTGAAAAGGTTAATTTGGATTCTGCCTGGTCTTTTCAATATTTGCATCCTTTAAGTAACGGTTTTGTCATACAGCGGGACTTCGAATATAACGAAGTGCTCGGTATTTTGAACGATATTCCTCGACCCACAATCCCAGACAAAAAAGTTGGGACACGAAGCAAGTTCTCCCCTCCCCCCACTTTCAATGTTGATAATCAGGTGATTTTCCCCTTTTTTGTTGGAGAAACCGCGATATTTTCCAACATTGATTAGGGGGGAAGGGGGATACGCGATACAGCTCATGTGTCCCAACTACTTTTGGCCGGGATTGCAGTAAAACCCGGATATAACGAAACCTTGCTGAGCGAACATATTTTGCCAGTCTCTTAGCCCTTCTTAAATAAAACGATAGATAGGCTCAGCCCAAAAAAAGTGAACAAGCTCTTCAGTTATTGAACACAACGTACTGAATGGAAGCCCGAATGTTCCCGACGACTATAACAGTTCCCTGGGGTGTGCAGCGCTTTTTATGAAATTCTCATCCTAGCTATCTCAGACCAAAATATGCCATTTTTGATTATGCCGTTGCCCTATTTAAGATCTTTAAAATTAACACCTCAACCTAATTCGCAACCTCTGTCTGCTAACCAGGTGCGGCGTCTACGCTCGAAAACGCTTGAGAACACGCTGTAAATTCACCAATCATGTATGATAAGTAAAAATTAGTCTCAACTAAACTACGCAGTTATACCCAATTCCAGACCAGAGCGACAAACGTAATGTATTTCAGACCAAAATGGTCAGTTTACCCTCCTTGAAACCAAAACAGTACGTCAAAGTCTATACCTGATCTCAGGCCAAAACGGCTCAAAAAATCATATTTTCTAGCGCCGCAGATGCTAGTATTGAGTTTAACTAAAGGTTACGCTCGCAACGTTTCAAAGTAAACTACGCGGCTTATAATTAGTACCGCACGTACAAATAATCACAGTTAAGTTGTTTCTTGTTTGTTTCAAATCAGAATAATCACAGTTAAGTTGTTTCTTGCTTGGTAAAGAAAGCTTTAAAGTTCGATTCACACTGAATCAGCGTCTCACTAATCAAGCTTAATCAGTAATTAAAGAAAAAACTCACTA